TCTGCCTGAAGGACAAAAGAGGTTCAGGAAAAAGTAGTGGGATAATAAATTGGGTTTTTGCTGGTGTTAGATATTTTTTGGTATTATCATTTTGTTATTACTTTAGTTCATATTCAGTCTTACTTTAGTTCATATTCAGTCTAATGTTAATCAGTATTATTGTGATTTTCTGTTTAAAGTGTTCTCTTCCTTATGTGTGTATAAACTGACCTGGAGGTCGCAACTGTCTGTTTATCTTCATGTGAGACAGTTAACTCTGTGTTTCCCAGATCTTAAATTCTTCTTGTGTTAGTTTGACCTAGAGCTGAACTGGGCTCAGATCGTAGATCAGATATCACACCAGGCTGGTTTGTTTAGGTTAGAAGTTTTACGACCTTTGTTGTTTTTTTCTGGCTGTTCTGCTTGACAATAAAACAGGGGCTCGCGTGGAAGGAGATCAGAATTCTCTGTGAACGGCTGATGAGGTTGTTGATGGAGAGTTCTCCTTTTGCAAAAGCTTTGTCTATAAAATTCATATACGTTGTCTGTGGTCTTTTTATATAGGTTCGAGAAAAAGTACCTATCAGCTGGTTTTTGTCAGCCTATTATTATTGCAATTTAACAAAAACAATGTAATATGTGGTTATTAGCTGTAGGACTAGCAATAGTATTTATTAGATTATATTTTTAAAAAGTAATCCTTTCAGTGCTTTTTGCACTGAATTTGTAACATTTCTTGTAAAGTAAGTTGAAATGCTGGTTTTAGACTTCTTGTTTGATCTGGTATTTGAACACAAGTTCATGTTATTAATGCACCTGTCAGTTATCAATTCCTGTAATTATTTTCTCAATTTATATTATAAGCAAATTTATTTGCATTACACTATAAAATGAATTAATGTCTTTAATACCACAAAGACTCAGAAAGTTGTTGTTTTAGGAGAGGTTACCAGCTTGCTTCAGTCACCTTCTACAAAGCTGTTCACATGAGAGGACAAGTTATTGCAGGTAAATTTTCACAATGCTAATTCACTATAATTAGAACATGATTAGACTATGGTTATTATTTTAGCATCTTAAAAGAAACTACAAACTTACACGAAATAGTTGTTGTTGTTGAGGTCAAAGTTGCATCAGAGTTTCCATCTTGTTTCTTGTAGACAGCGTTGCAACTGATTTTCTCTCCATCATGAAGGTAAGAAGCATTAAAGTTCAGAACAGAGACCTTGACCAGAGTTTTGTCCTGATTCTCCTGGAGTGTCTCCTCACTCTGCCCCAGTGTGGGGGTCCATGTCAGATTTGGAGGACGAGACAGACAGGGAACCGGAGCAGAACAGGTCAGACTCACTGAGTCTCCATCATTCACCTCCAATGTGGAAGGAGTCAGAGTTGGTGGAGGAAGATCATCTGGGAGGAAGAGTCAATGACATCATTCAGTGAGTACAAATCTGAGTTCCTTGGTTATTTTAAATTGCAGAATATAGAATGAAAATTATAATAAAAACAAAAGATAGAAATAAAGCAAGATAAACATAGTTAGTTAATACAATTATTGTTGATAAAAAAGCATTTAAACCTACCTTTGACTTCAATTTTTACACTTGCTGTTGTAAAAGTGTATTTGAGACCATTACAATCCAGCCTAAGGTTATAGGTGTTGGTATGGCGACTCTGCATGTTGCTGAAGGTGGTGGTGCAGTTTTTCTCTGTTAAGTTTCCTGTCACTGGGTTTGTATCTGTTAGTCTTGGGTCCCTGCTGTCTGGGTAAACCCACAGAGCTCTGCATCCTCCATTTAAATATTGTTCATATTTTCTCTTTAGGTCAAAGGAGCAGGGGACGGTGACACAGGATCCTCTCAGGACTTGTACAGTCTGTGGTAGAGAGATTTCAAACTGGCCACAGCTTCTGCCTGAAGAACAAAAAAGTTTTAGGAAAAGTAGTGAAATATTTATATTTTTGGGGGTCTTCTAAAATGATGACATTTTCCATGATTTCAGCTTTTAATATAATTATTACAAAAATATGAAATGATGAAGTAAGTTCTTGATAATCTTGCCACAGTTATGAGTCTTGGAGAAATCGTTTCAGCCCTATTAAGGAATTTATCATATTTTAGCGTGTTTTCTACCAAAAATATAAGAAGGCCACAATTTTAATCAATCCATAATTCTGACATTTTAGAAACAGAAGAATTATCTTACACAAAATATTTGCTGTTGTGGAAAATGAGGCATCAGCGCTTCCATCTTGTTTCTTATACACAGATGTGCAGGAAATGTTCTCTCCATCATGGAGGTAGGAAGCATTGAAGTTCAGAACAGAGGTCTTAACAAGCGTTTTGTCCTGGTTTTCTTGCAGTGTCTCCTGACTGTAACCCAGTGTGGGGGTCCATGTCAGATTTGGAGGATGAGACGGACAGGGAACCGGAGCAGAGCAGGTCAGATTCACCGAGTCTCCATCATTCACCTCCAGTGTGGATGGAGTCAGAGTTGGTGATGGAAGATCATCTAAGAAGAAGTTTCAGTAGTATAATTTATCGAATTGTATTATTGACAACATGCAATAAATTAAAAAACATCCCCTGCATACACAAATGTTCTTCTAGCTAGCTATATCAACAATAACACATACCTGTGACTGTGAGAGTCACAGCAGCCGTGGTAAATGTTTCTCTTAGAGAACTGCTGCAATCCAGTTTGAAGTAGTAAGTATTACTATGATCAGGTTGCATGTTGCTAAAAGTGGTGGTACAGTTTTTCTTTGTTAGGTCTCCTGCCACTGCATTTGTATCTGTCAATTGTGGATTCCTTTTATCCTTGTCAACCCATTTTGCTTCACATTGTTCATTTAGGTTGCCTTCATATTTGCTCGGTATGTCAAAGGAGCAGGGGACAGTCACACACGATCCTCTCAAAACCTGTACAGTTTGCACCAAGGACACCTGAAACGTACTGCACAGGACACCTGAAAAACGACATATATCATTTAAAGAAGAAAAGGACCATTGTATTGCATGTTAGGTTTAATATTTTAAAGTAAAGAATTAAAGCTTTGATGCCATACATATTTGGAAAATACCCTACACAAAGCAACATTAATATGCAGTTTAGTCACTAGCAAATATCAATATGTGTCAAAAACATGTACTAATAAAATCACTAATTTCACCCACAAATGAGAAACTAATAACTAGACATTAACTTAACTATTCTTGCATTCCTGTTGCCGAGCATGTGTCATTCTGTACCAATATTAATTGAAGCACAGAATAAACCAACCATCTATACATCCATCCCAGTTACAATACATGGAGTTAAAATCAATATTGAGTGATCTGATCCCAGTTACCTGCATTAGATGCAGGTAGCTACATAGGTCTGTCATATAAAACACTGTCAGCTGAGCAATTAACAAATCCGCTGATGCTCTGACCAATACCATTGGTCAATATCTTCTATAATGCAAATATTGAAATTTACAATGCTTTAATTCCAACCACGTATACAGGGCTGGATATAAAGGATGTGGGTCCCTGAGCTGAAAATTGTTTTGGTGCCCTCTCCACAAAAGAAAAAGTATTTTGCTAATTCAAATTATAGTTCATTATAGGTAAAACCACACATAATTGAGAACCAACTGAGAGTTAAAACTCAGTTCATTGATAATGGCAGGTTTAATACCTACAATCAGCCCGTAGCTCCATGTATTTCCCCCAAAATACTATAAATTAATAATTTTCAAATACTTGAGTACTATCATGTAAATCCCAAAATATTATCACAAAACACATGACTCTTACCTATGACTTTTATATAAAGTATTATGTCTGTAAAACATTCATTACAAAATAATTCAGGAAGTAAAAGTTTATAACCCCCCCTAAGTCCCCAAAGAAAATATAAAAAATATTGGGGCCCTGGGTGGCTGCCCCTGTAAGCCCTTCCTAAAGTCTGGCCCATCATGTATAGGATTTGATACAGTATAACTGTTTTTTATGGAAATCTACATTTTGTCATTTATAAACTCACCATGCAGTGACGAGCCAATGAGGAGAAGAAAAATCACAAGTCCAACCATCTTTGAATAATGAAAGTTTAGAGCCTACGGATCACATGTAAAACAGTTACTGTGATTGCTTTATAAAAATGCTTTAAATGTTAAATAATATAAAATCGATAATTTTAATATATTTAGTATTAAATTACTTGCATGAATAATAAGTAAAATGACTCAAAATGTTCCATCTGTATTCTGACAATATAATCTGCTATGCTATTGTGTTTTGTGATGAAATAACAATTCATAAATAGATTAAAACATTGTTTCACATAGCATTTAAGTGATTGTAAAAGGAACAACAAATTCCAGTGATCCTTTGCTGATTGCATAATATTGAAATGCAAAATAAAACAAGTTAAAAGAGATAGAGTTCAAACAGGAACTTTGCATCTAATGCCTTTGAAGCAAATCTACAAATATTAAAATTATTTACCTGTATTATCTTAATGTATGAAGTTCATATTTAAGAGAAAATCAGTGGACTGACAAGTTTAAAAATTTAGAAAGGAAATTATCTCACCTTTTGTCAAAGACATCCACACCTTATTTTCCTCAGTAGTTATTTCTGTGATGTTTCATAAATCAGTGAGTCACAGAAGCCATATTATGGTTGTTTAAAATTTTATGGCTCACATCTACAGTAGTGCAGACAGAATGTGGAACTAAAAACTGAGAAAGGAGAAACTAACCAAAAAGCTGACAGATGCAAAATGAAATATGACCTTAGGAATGGCATGCATGAGGCTTCTTGAATTTAGTTTAAAAAAAAGTCCCAGTAGAAAAAAAAAATAAAAGGCATGTGACCGAATCCTCAAGGACACACTGTTGATAAAGTTAAGAATTATATATTTACAATTCCTTTATTTCACAATTTAAAAACTGTTCTGATAAATATGTTGAGCCCCAGTTTGGGATTCCTAGGGGTTGTTGTCACATACACTATTGTTGTGTTCCGAAATGAAAATTCAGTTTTCTTTTTTCTGGGTAGTTTCCTGACCGCATGGAGAATTACATACTAGATGAATAAAAACGGAGGTTGTGCATGAAAGAGAAGATTACAGGTCTTGATAACAGTAATGTTTGGGAGGACAGGTGTGATTAGAACAGCAAGTCAATGAGAAAATAATTAAGGAGAATGAGGTTACATTAGGATTGGAGGCTGGCATTGAGGATGGGATGTTATTCAGGCAATGGTGTAGTGGGTGATGGAGTTTTCCAAGGACTTGTACCTCAGGACGGTCTTTGCAGTTGAGAAACTGATTGTGAGATGGAGATAGTAATGAACAGAGGATGTTGGAGAAGGGACAGGCAGATGGCAGCTGTAGATGGTGGAGCAGCAAACATCAGAAGATCACTGACTGGTTTCTGGTGGACAGATCCAGAGTTTGGTGATGAAACTCAGCAGTGATTTCTGCTTGAAAAGTGAAGATAGCACAGGGAGTAAAACAAACCTAGGCAAGTCAGAAGAAACTTCCTCAAAGAGATACTCAAGGAGCTCAAATTCAGGGTTATTCAACCAGAAGGATTGACTATCAAGCAAAGTCAGGTCAACTGCTCCATAAAGACCCCAAAATCAGGTGAAATAACTTCAGCAGGAAAACACCAATACACCAGGAACCTGACATTAGCAAACTTCAAGTCTCCCCATAATTCCCAGCCTGAATGGGGGAATTCTTAAATTTTTAGCATCAGAATATCTTAATCTTGTGTTCAGATGTTTTCAGACAGAATCTAGTTCCATCTGCAGTAGTGCTTTTTACACAGATTTTAAACGGTTGTCCTGATGCAGTTGGACAGGTTGCAACACTGCTGCAACAGGAAGAACTTTTGAACTACATTCAGTTGTATTTTTCATGAAACAGGAACAAGACATCAGCAGAAAGTAAGAAAGACAAACTGACAGCAAGTAAATAGTTGACCGAGTGAAAATGAAATTTAGACCGGACTTCCTCATCTATTTAGCATTTCTCCATATTTACAATTGTAGCATAGCACCTAGAATGAAGATTAAATAAAAAAAAGCTTTTCATTGTGTGCTGTGTTAAATATCAAGAGCAGATTTTAACCCTGATCACCAAAAAGTATAAAATATTCACAAAATTTGTTTTACAAGCCATCATTGTAAATATTGAGTAGTTATAATAATTTAAAACCCTCAAATCATTCATCTATTCTCATGCCCTGTAATGAATTTGTGATTTTGCAAAATTAACATATTCTTTAACAATTTATTGTCCATTTATTTAAAATGACGAATACTATAAAGAAGACAATACAGGTTTTAAGGTTTACTCACAGATGTCAAAACAATGAAACATACAAACATGAGTGTGGAAGGGAGTTCACTTTTCAGGATCAGGATTCAGCTACGACTGGAGGGTAAGTGGTAATCTATGTGTCTTTGAAGGTGTCTGATGATAAACAAATTGTTTACAGAGATGGCGGCTACTAAATGGTTAATGGCTTGTACTTGAAGTCCAGAGGACTCCAAAGAACTTCACACTTCATTCAGGCATTCACTCATTCACGCTCTATACATTCTGAAATAGTGACATCTAGTGGTTGTTCTGTTGCATTGCAGTTGATGTGAATAAAATTGATAACTTCTTTCAAATATGTTTCATGCATACTATTTTCATTAAAGCTCATGTTCTCTAAAGCAACCTGTGTGTTAATAGTTTATATAAAGTTGGAATGAGGATGTTACAATAAGCATGACCTTTTTTAACAATAGTGACACCTTATCCTTTTGGACTGTAAATAATTATTATTCTATGAATTATCATTTTCATTTTATTACTATCTGAGAACTTATATCTTTTTGTGATAACGTCATTATAGTGATACATATAAGAAGAGACTTTGAGTAACATTCAAAGATTTTTTATTCAAGAAAACCATCATTTCCACTGTTTTGTTTTCATTATCTGCTCCTCTTCTGGCTCACTAACCCTCCAGCTTTAGAGAAGACCTGCTGGCAGGGCACAGATGAAACTCAAACTCTCACAAAAGTTTTTTAATGCACTCAAAATCACACACAACCACTCAACCTAACTGTCTAAAGTGTCTAAAGTCAGATTCTCACGGACTCAAATCCATACACACAACTAAAGTTCAGACTCTAACTATATCTCGCAATTTCTAACTTATGCAAATACATGTCCGTCTTTCCAAAAATTCACAGTTTGGGAGTAAATTCAGTTTCATTTTAAAGCCTAAAATGAGACTACAAGACCCGCCCATTCAGGATTCCTGCAAATCAGCATATGACGAGCTGCTTGTCACAAGCAGTCCGAGACACCGGAAAAAATCGAGGCCTCTTTTAGGAGTGGTCACATAATTTTTGGTGTGTTGACGCAGCGATCCAAACACTGCATAACGATACTACTGCTTCATTTGGCTCCAATCTGTATTGAGCAGGAGGTGTCGAGCAACACATCACTGAACTACTTCTCAGTGCAAAGCTCCTAAGAAAGGTTGTAAATGCCACAACGGAGTAGCGTCGTAGTGATGATGTGCTGAAGATGTAGTGGTGAAAAGAGTAGAAGCTTCTTAAAGAGACAGAGCCCAAATTCAAGGCATCAGATTGCAAAGTCAAATTTATTTTAAGTTGTATTTACAACTGAAAGTAACACTTACTTGACTGTTGGACTAATGTGCCTAGAAAACGCATAATAGTCCCCTTTTAACAAACTGTTTTAGTTTGGAAGTCCATTACACATATCAGATATGTAAAACAGTAACACAATGTTATTTACTTTGAGCTGTGTACCTTAAAAAGCCGTGGATTACAAATATCACAAAATTGTAGAGAGGATTAAAAAAAAGTCTTTATAATATATGGCAAAATAATTTAAATCATGAGGCAGCTATTTGATGATCAAATTTCTATAAGTATAAATTCATTTACAATGTAGCATATTTTGTCACAGCCAATAAAAGCAAACCCAGTAAAATAAAATAAAAAATACTTAAAATAGCATGCAGCATCTTGAACATCTTTAGATATGACCAGTTAATACTACAATTACAACAGACAGCGCTAAAGTCAAAGAAATCATTTTAAAAACTCGTCCTATTACAAACTTTTAAGTTGTTGTTGTTATGTGGGTGTGTTTAGAAGTGCTTTTCCTAATTTTGACTTTGTTTGATTAAAGGCAGGAAAACATCAGAGCTGAATTTTTTCCCACAGCAATTAAAAAGCATGTTATTATCATCTATCTCATTTTTCCTGTCTCAGCTTCCTTGTGTTGACATAAATGGGATCTTCAGTGTGTGGTATCTAAAGTTAAAGAAGAAATATGAACAAAACAAATTATTTAAAAAACTACAAATTTTACAAAAAAGCATGATCATTTGCAAATATACCTTTTTCTTGTCCTTTGCAACACTCTCCTTTAGATTGTTTTGCTGAATCTTCAGATACCTGGAATAAGACATTGAAAAATGTTGTAAATTTTAGTGTTTTGCTTCACACCTATATATAATCATAAAAAAGACGTAAAACACAAAGGGGAAACTGAACAGGCTTCCTATGAACTGCTCACTTACCGGATAACAAACAGCAAGACACAGACTAGAGTTAGTAAGACGACAGTAGTAGCAATGAACACAAACATCAGCTTTTTATCTGAAATGCAAATTTGAAAAATAAAGATCAAGATATAACTTTGACAGAGCTTATTAAATACACTTTATACAGAGAAATATATTTTCACACCTTTGTCAAAGAAGTAATAGGGAATGATGAAATTGCAAAACACTGAAAAAATGTTTATCAAGGCTAGTTCTTACACTAAAGATCATGGATACATATAGACAGAAGCAATGTTGGTTATAAGCTGTAAAAGTAAATCATATCATGAGATTATACACCAGCTGCCTGATACTAATTTTAAATATGGATAGTTTCATTGAGCATATCCAGTATTACAATCTAAATCTTCCACCAGTCTTCAAATTCAGTAAATTGATGCTGAATAAATTATATCTTTTATCACATTTAATTTGAAAATTAGAACCTTTTCTCACAGTTGTGTTGCAAAAAACTGTTAGGTAAATACTCAGAGGTACTCTATACCTGCATTTATTTTAACAAACACACTGTACAGACATAATAGACACCCTGTGATTACCTGCTATGTTTTCAATTGTGCAGCAGTCAGCACAAAACTGTTTCCTGGCTGATCCCACAGAGTTGAAGCTAAAGCAGAGCAACGATGACAGATTTCTGTCCTGTGCTCCATTGACAGTGATGACACTCTTCAGATGTGTACTATTCAGAGTGTCAGTGGAGATAGAAATCTTGTTAGATTGGATAACCTGCTGTCCATCCACAACCCACTGTAACATGAGACTGCTTCCAACAGTTTCACAGGAACATCTGACTTGATTTGCAGTTCTGGTGCAAATAGATGAGTCCAGGATCACTGGAGGAACTGTAAACCAGGAGACAAAGCTAACTTGAAAATAAGGTAAATAAAAACAGCAAAACTCCTGTACAAAGGGTAATAGGATGAAAAAAAAAGTGTGAAAATAATCACACAGAATATTTGATTAATACCGGAGCTCTCAATAAATTATAGTACCATTAAAAAAATCTTTTATTTTATTAATTTAATTTGGAAGGTGAAACTCATGTTAAATTAATCAAACACACCATTATATATATATATATATATATATATATATATATATATATATATATATATATATATATATATATATATATATATATATATCTATAGATATATATATAAAACAGTCTTACAGCTCTTAAAAAAACTCAAACTGGACACATAAATGTGATAGAAAAATGTGCACAGATGACAGGATGACTGAAACCTTGAGGAGAATGTGAAACAACGTCTTTCTTTATGGGTTATGGTAGTTTCACAAAGTGCTGAGAGTGTCTTGAGTAAATGCTTCAAGAGCCACTAACATAGAGGTATGGCAGATTTGGTCTATTACTGTAGAAATGCTTGTTTTGACCTCTGAACCAGTGACATCATCAGCATCATCTTGCATGGACTAAACTTTGTCATTTTATTTGATGTTTTATTTAAACACACACACACGCACACACACACACACACACACACACACACACACACACACAAAACAATTCCAGTGCTGATGCACAGCACTTGTTTCAGTTGTAGCTGGTGTGAAATGATACAAAAAGCTATAATCTATATAAATATCCAAGAATACAATTGTGTTTTGACATTCTTGATATGTTTTCAGAGACTGAAGTCACCAGTAGAGAAAGCTTTGCTCTCATGCTTGAGTAGCTTGCTTGAACAGTAGCAATATATTTCAAAATAGCTCACATTAGCACCTACATTAGGCTATTTTCAAAGGTGGTTTGAGTTAAAATTGTAAAGCGTTTTAGTGAAGGTAAAAAAATCAGTGATGTAACTAAAGTGTAAAACATGACATAAGTTTAGTAATACTGATGTTATTAGTTTCAAGACATGGACTACATCATTTGTGTAGATATGACTTTATATGGCACACTTCTACTCTTATTCTGTTTAATCATTTGTGTTTCTGCTGTGCACATGTAAATTATCTCCAGCTGCTAAAGTTTCTTCTCAGTTTGTATTGTTTTTTTTGTTTTTTGTTTTTTTTGTGTGTGTGTCTATGAGATAATTGGATAACTTGTTGGGTCCAAAATTAATAGCCCTTCTACGAATGTGTTTTTTTTTTTTCTTTCAATGTTTAACTGCTGTTAAGTACATTAATGATTTTAATAAAATCAGTAATGATTTCAATAAAAGATAAAGATGTAAATTCAGTGGGCAAATATTTTTGTCCTCAACAGTATGTAAAATGTTAAAATGTGGGAAAGGAAATTAACTTACCCAAAATCCTTGCTGTTAAATCTGCGGTAACAGATACACTGGGGCTTCCATCTTGTTTATTGTAGACAGCTGTGCAGGAGATTTTCTTACCATCATGGCTATGTGAGGCAACGAAGGTTAAAATGGAGGTCTGAAACTGAGTTTTGTCCTGATTCTCTCGCAGTTTCACCTGACTCTCCCCCAGTTTGGGAGACCATGTCAAAGCTGGAGGATGAGACGGGCAAGGAACTGGAGCAGAACATGTCAGACTCACAGAGGCTCCCTCTTTCACCTCCAGAGTGGACGGAGTCAGAGTTGGTGAGGGAGGATTATCTGGGAGGAAGGTTGAGTGCTTTGGTTTAGTGGTTGAGCATGACATTTAATACCTCATTATTTAGACAACAATATGGGTTTACCAAACATATTTGATCCATAAGATCTTTGCATTTCAAAACATACCTGTGACATTAATTTTCACAGAATCATTTGAATAGGTCCATATTTTTCTAGACTAGAAATCACAGATAAAACAGTGTTCATGTTTGTTTTGCATACTTTCTTCAATAGGTTAGTATAAAATATGACTGATGTATTCTTTATCTTGAGCATCTACAAAGTAGATTTGAGTCCTGGAAAAATCAGCAGGAGTGCACAGTAAGCATGCTTGCAAGGCCAAAATACCAAAATTATTCTCAATACCATGTCCCTCACTTATAAATTGGATGACCTGCAGCTTTAGATTTTAATGGATAAGATAATCAGAGACTTGGTAGAAAGTGGCCTCGTTCATTCATCCCTGTTGAAACTGGTGAACTACACAGTGTATATTCAAATATACGTGTGAATATAGAAAAAGTGTCCAGTCAAATAGAAAACAATGCAGTCATATGTAACAAAACAGGTATAGCATACTACACCATCAGCGTTCAACAGAGGATGCATTTAAGGATGTTTAGATTACAGCTGCAGTTAATTAAATGTTGTCCTCAATAAGTCGTAAAATAACAAGGCTATAAAGTTTAGTCACCACCTCGTTTCATCTAGTCTGAGCAGCTTTGCTCTTGATCAGAAGTCCCATCATGAAAGAGGCTCTAACTATGTCAAAGACTTTTAAAATGTCTTGCAGGCACCTCTGACCAGCTCTGTCATAGGAACAGCTGGGAAGTCTTTGAACAACAAAGACATATAGGGCTATGTAAATGTCTCCTTAGAAAGTAGTGCTGCGAAAAAATGGTATGGCTTCTGGCTTGTTCTAATCTCAGCATACAAATAGAGATCCAAAATCTACTGCAGAAAAGTAACATCTCACACAAATCTGGTGATGGTGATCAGTACAGCGCTGCAAGAGACAGCCTAGGGAGAGGCATCCAGGAGGGCTAGGGCAACTTGCAAAGGGAGAGTAGAAGATCACTAACGCAGTAATAACTCCAGTAATAACTTGTGTAGTGGCTGCAGCTTGTGACTGACTACAAATTCAGCAGCCTCTCAGTTATAGAGAGGTGCAGACAGAGCACAAGTGTACATGTTTAGTTTTCCAAAATTATTTCAGCCACGATTCAATTTGATAAGTTACAAAGCCTAGCAGTGTAGTAGAAAAGAAAACCAGATTTCATTTTTAACTCAGTTGTTACAATTATTTAATGTAATGAGGACTTAACTTTTTAAATAATGTTTCATTTAGAAGCATATTTCAGACAGATTAATTTTTTAAAAAGTTACATATTTTACACCACTGTGAATCAAACTTTCTCCCTTGTTCTATTTATTCTTAATGTGCTTTTTTTTCCATCACAGCAAACCAAAATCAGTCAACAAAATGCCTTACATAGGTCAAAATGACTTACTGTGCATGTTCATGAGGTCTGCAGAGAAGGCGTCATTCTCTATAAGTAACTCATATATACGGAGGCACTGACTTTTAAAGAGGAAGTAAAACCAACATGACCAAAACAGTTACCACCACCTTTACTTAGATATCTGATGTCATCCATCCAACCAATATTATCACAGCAAGGAGCAAACAACTCAAATCTTAAAATAAAACATACATTACACAAGGTTGAAATAAATAATTAATTTCAGTCTATGGAGGCTTTGCACTAAAACACAAACTGCGTGGGAATTGTCCTTCACAGTCACCAGGGAAGGGTTCTTTTTTGACGGCAGGAGCCACCTTTTGATCCACACAGGGACTATTAGTTTGGTTGGTTGTTGTGTCCTTGGGAAAGACACTTCACCCACCTTGCCTGCTAGTGGTGGTCAAAGGACCAGTGCATGGTCGCACCGGTGCTCCTGTCTGTGTGCTGCTATCCAGTAGCTTGACACCGTCAGTGTGTGAATAAGTGTGTGAAAGGGTTGCAGTGTGAAGCACTTTGGGTCCTTTGCAGTTGATAAAGCGCTATACAAGTAAAAGCTATACCTATGATGGTAGCTCTAGTCTGCTCTAGATTTCTAGTGAACTTGTATCTCCAGTCTCTAGTTGCCTTGTTTCCTGTGTTCCAGGTTTACCTGAAGCTCTTGTGTTTTCTCCGATCCACCTAAGTGAGAACTTACTGTATTTGTGTACTGCCAACAGCAGCCTGACATTCTCAGCTCCTTCACCACCATCAAGCTCTCATCAGGATTAAACCCGGGCAGCAGGTCAAAAGCAGATGGTTTTGTTTTAGTTTTTGGAAGTTATCACAGAGTTTCCTCTTCCTCCTGGTGCTGGGAACAGAGTGAACACATTCTCTAGTTAAAGCATTAGTTATCATACCAGCTTTAAATGTGTTTCATTCTCTCATGGCTGGATGTCTAACACCAGTTCGACACCAGTTTGACTCAACTAGACAGCCATTTGTAATCCATAGGGGGGGCCCAGAAAATGTTTGGAAATCACTGGCGGGGCGCAGAAAAAGTTTGGGAACCACTGCTGTAAGGCAACAATGTTACCAACTTTGCCACCATATCTGCTATAAAGTCTGTAAAACGGGCTCGAACAGGAACAAGATTTTGACTTGCTGTAAAAGCTGGCCAAAGTGTGAACATGTTGCCAGAAATATTATTGAGAGTAACATCTTTTCTTTGGCAATGATCTCAGCTAAAAAAAAATCTCACACCCATTTCAAAACACTTCCTTTTCTCAGTACTGATTGACATGATGCAGAAAATTCTGGTTTGTTTCTTCACTACAAAAATAATTTTAGAGTTGCAATAATGCAGATAGAGGGCTGGCTACTGCAGCTTTCACAGAAGTTGGGTCCTTTAAATTGATTGATTGCCTGTTTGGAGGCTACATATGCCACTTTTAACAAGTGAAGACAACATAATGAAGACTAAAAAAGTGAAAATATAAATAAATATTTTTATGTTCATATTACCACACTAATATAGTTCATTTTACTGACAGGTTCAAACAACCTACAACATTCAAACATCATGCAAAAAGAAGAAAGACAAGAGAGTTTTAGATTTACTTGCGAGGAGAACGGACAGAGACATACTTCAGTTACAATCTCCTACCGTTCTGAAGCACGTTCTGCTGTACCCTCTCTTTTTATTTCCTTATTGCAGTCCCTAGTTACATAGCTTATTCGGTTACCTTGAGTTAATTACATAGCGTTACTGTTTCTTCTGTTGTTTTATCTTGAGTCACAGCCTTGTTGCACCTCCGAGCTGAGTAGTGCAGAGTGTGAGTGCAGAGTGCAGCTCATATTTGTTTCCTCCTGTAGCTGCAATGCAGGGACTGATTTACTCACAGAACAATGGTGATATACAGCACGATTAAATCAACTTCACACATCAAAAACAGTAAACATAAGATAAAATACTGTTTCTAACATTTACCTATTTACGTTGTTGAAGAAACAGAGGGATCCTTATACTAAAAATATTTCTAACACCAAAGCAAAGGAAATAATTTCAGAATATTGTTTCAATGCTGAAGAATTGCTTTAAAAATCAGTTTAATCTAGAATTAAAGTAATTTTACCTTTTTGGGGGTTGTTTTACCTGCCAGCTGGCCATGATATTACATCAGTATTTCTATTTTTGGTTTCATGTTTTAACAACCTGGCAAAACTAAAAATATATATTATGACTATTAGAAGAAGTCAGTGACCATTGTCCACAGATAATCTGTTAATTTTACCATGAATAAAAACTTTTTTAAGATCTTGAAACATTGTGAGCCCAATTCAAATATCTTAATTTTTATGGAAGGAACTGATTCAAAATAAATTGGCTCAATTAGATAATTTATGTTTTGATATTTTTCACAAATGTTATCTTTTTCTGTTACACAGATTCACTCTTAAGATTCTAAAGTCTTGTCAAAATATTGAAATCATCCATCTTTATGTTTCTCCTTTTTGGTGTAAAAGAGACACAGCTATAAAGTAATTAATTTCCAGATTTTTTCATATGCTTTTGTTGTACTGTTAAACACAACACATTTTGGCTTTATCTCTTGTATGTTGCAACTTTACCAAACTTTTAAACACGAATATCTAATTCTATTACAGATTATTTCTGACCCGTCAGCTTGACTGCTATCGCACATTGTGTCGTTCAGAAAATACATTTCTCCCCTGTTGTCATACTATTATTATTAAGAATCCAAAGATAGTATCATTTTTTTTAAAGTAAAAGTATTTCAGTTTCATTTTGAATATTTTTTATTATTATTTTAAATATCAATTCATGTATTCCTTTATTTATTTTTAGTTCTTTTTCAGGCGCCAAACATTAAGGCACAAAGCACACAATATAGCACACAATATTTTTTTGGTTTCAGTGAATTATGGACTAGGACATTTTAATTTTCTATGTTTGACATCTGCAATAATAGTGGTTCATGATCAATGTCTAAAAAAGGTAGAAATCCTTCTAGAGAAAAATACGTTTGATTATATCTGCATTTACAGAACCACCTGAACTTACCCGTGATTTCTAGAGCTTCTTTTGAAAAAACAGAATAACACATGCCACATAAAATTCAGAGAAGATTCAAAGCCTGCTTTAACAGACTGAACTCATTATGTCAGTTTGTTATAAATGTCTTTGATTATTCCAACAGAACATGAAACAAAAGTTGTGTTCAACTCCCTCCAATCAGATGTGATTTTAGCAACTCCTCAATCTTTATCTGGAGCTCCATAGCTTTATCTGCATTCTCTCCTTTCTCCATTTCCCCTCCACTGTTCTGCAGGCCTCGCAGCACTGACTGCAGAGCATCCACGTTCTTCACCGAGTCCATCTGGTCCCTGTCGGCACGGATCTCCTCCACCCAGCCCAGGTAGGCCTGGAGCAACCCCAGGTCGTCCACGAAGTTTGCAATAATCCTTAAATCTGGTCTCAATTTCTGCAGTTCTCTGAGCCTTTTTCTGCCCACCTCTCCAATGTCATTTCCAACAATTCTGAAGAAAAGGGAATAAAACAGTGGTTGTATACTCAGCCTCCACTAGATGGCAGTTGTGGACACCACATAGAAACAGGTTAAATGTGTCTGTCTTACGTCAGAATCTTCAGGGAAGTGTTTTTGCTGAGACAGTTAACAATGTTTTCCGTCCCTTTCTCTGTGATACCAGTGATGTCCAGATAGAGCTCTTCAACAGTGGTGTTGTTCTCCAGGGCGGTCCACAGCTCATTAACCCCTTCTGGACCCAGGTTGTTTCCACACATACTATAAGAGTCGTTTGACAAAAATGTATTAAATACGTTAGTAGATTGTATTTGCTTATTTCTGACATGTAAAGGTTTTTTTTTCTTCCTTAGAATTTTCAAAGGCTGCAGAAACAGAAATAATGTTGACCCCTTCAGATAAAACACATCCTGTGCTGTGAAAAAGTATTTGCTTTTCATCAAACTTAGAAACTTTAGATCTTCAAATGATTTCAATATTGATAATATTGGTTCAGTATCTGGACAGTTTGCTTTAATTGATGGAACTATAAATTCTGCTCTCCACCAGAAAATTATGTACAACATTATTTGGGAAAGACTTCATGATTTGAAGCTCAAGTCATGAGGGTTATTAAGACTACGTCTAAGGTTCAGAGTCTGAGTTCAGATCTGGTTGAGATGCTGTTGTGTGGCCGTAAATTAGTCAGTCATGTTAAAAAATCCTCCAGTGTGGGTCCTGCCAGTTACCTCAAACACTTGATGTTAGCTGTTGCTGCCAAGGGATAAACAATCTTTTGCAAGATTACTTTTTCAAGCAGGATTACGCTGGTTAGCCTTTTTTTCTCTTCGTAAATGAACTCATCAACTTCACTGAATGAAAACTGCATTTTCTGTTTACTCCTCTTTGCTAATATTTTTCTATTATACAATCTATTTGATGACATGAAACACATAAGTGTGGCAAAAAGCAGAAAAGGAAGAGATCTGTCATCTGCAAATAATTTTTCAAAGCACTGAATGTGCTTTATAATAAGGAGTTAAGGTTCCGTAGTTTATTTGAAAATTCAAAACTTCTTAAAATTAATTATTTCAGTTGCATTTAAGATTCTGAGAAGACTCACAAGAGTTTCCTGACTTGGCATTCGTTTGATTTCAGAACTGCAGATTCTAATATCGCTGCTTGCCAATCCAGACAGTTGTATCTCAAACTGAAACAGAGGAGAAAAACATCTGCACTTGCTTTTTGTTATTTGCTGGGGATCAGACTTGTTACATGCCAGGATGTATTTGAAAGAGATCACTGGATAAGTTCAGATCAGACAGCTAACACAGACAGTTAGTTTGTATTATTCAAATGTTGACATGTGAATATAAATTGCAGGACTCACTAGAGGGATTCACAGCGATGGAGGATTGGCCTCAGTCGGTTGAGTCCTCTGTTTCCAATGTTTGAGTAACCCAGGTTGAGTTCCTGAAGCGTGTGTGGAGAAAACTTCAGCACATAGTGCATTGCTGCACAGTCCACAATATTCAACTTCATTTTAAACAAGTTAAGCTTCTTAATCTCTGGTGCTGCGATGGTGGTGGTCTCGTTCGTGTGAAACTCCATCAAACAATGCAAAAGATTCAATGCAGTTTCGTTTTTCATCTCCCTGTGTTTAAATTGGTCTTGGAACCATAAACCCAAACCATTGGGGATTCCATTCTCCTCCTGCTGGGACGGGTCAACAAGGCCATCTAGCTGTTTTTCTAACCTCGTTCGGAGAAGACCCATAAAGAATCTTGTGAACATTTGGAGACTATCCAACATGTCCATGTTGAGATCTATTTGTTTTAGCAGTGTAGAAGAGGCAGATGGTGGCTGTGACCCAAAGCACCAGAGGTTTAAAGCTTGAGTTATATCCTCCTGACTGAAGAGGTTGAGGGCACAGTAGAGAGCTGCCAAATGTTCCTGAACAGTCAAGTGGAAAAAGGAAAACATCTCTACTGCCTCTTCTTTAACAGGATGAAGGATTTGACAAAGAAAGGTGCTTTGGATATTAGCTGGTGTTACACTATAATTCTCCAGGTCTTTTCTGCTGAACATGATCTTCCTCTGCAAGAGATTTTCGTAGGCCAGTTTTCCCAGGTTTGTCAGCTGTTGCTTTGCTTGGGAGAGAACTTCCGATCTTGAAGTTGATCTTTCTCCACTTGCCCTCAGTCCATGGTGTTTTACTGTTGTTAACAGATAGCAGAAGTAAACCTCACTCACTGTTCTGGGCGGGCTTAACTCCAGAGATTTAAAGTCACCAACATCCTGAGATCCCAAGAAGAACTCCAGCATAGCAGTACAGATGATGTAACAATAAAGTGGGATAAAGGACAACACAAAAATGCTGTCATTGTTCGAGATGTAATCGTAGACTTTTTCTGCGACTTTCCTGTCCTTGTAGAACTTGGTGGTATACTCTTTGACCTGGTTTTCCTCAAAGCCCAGCACCACACAGCATCTCTGAAAGAAACGCTTTGGAGCTTCTGTAGATGGCCTTGTTGTGAGAATGATGGATGCCTCTGGGAGAAGATTTCCTTTAATCAAAGCAACTATCAGCTCAGACACGGGCAGCTTTGACTTCAAACCAATGTTTTTATCCCGACTTTTCCAGTCTAAAGAGAATCTAAACTCATCTAAGCCATCGAGGATGAAGAGCAGAGATCCTGGTGCAGCGAACAGATCAGGAAGAGCATCCTTTAAGTGCCGGAACCTCTCTCCAAGTAGCTCCAACAAACTAATAGGAGCTTCAATTAGATTGAGCTCTCTGAAAGATAAATCAAAGATGCAGGTGAATTCACGCATGCTCTTTCCGATCGCCCATTCATAGACGAGCCTCTGGACCGCTACACTCTTTCCAATACCAGCAATACCCTTCACTTTAACCCTTTTAGGTGGCTGTCCTGTTGTCTCTTGAGGACTCAGTAGTTGGCTTGGCCTAATGCGCTGGCATGATTGGTGGACATAGATACGGGCTCGTCTGCTTGCTAAGTCAAAGTACTCATGTTGACTGCTGTCAGTGAAGTCGTTGTCCTCTGTGACGAAGAGGTCAGTGTAGCGAATCTCAATGTGAAAAGTTGAGTTTGAAGTTTCTCCACTGCCCTCTGAGTAACATTTCAGCTCCTCCATGCGCGTCAGTAAGGTTGTTTTGTGGATAGAAATTTGAGCTGGAATAGAACATAATATGTTAATTTTCTGAAATTTTGTTGATAAATTACATTTCTCTGATCTTTCTTTTTAATATGGTTTTTTGTCATTGTATTTTCAATGTTAGACCAAGGCTTCTTTTAAAGATGCTAATTATCTTTAAAATATTTTTCCACAGCCAGTGATGTACCTTGAAGCCATGTCCATATATCACCTAAAAAGTCTCTGCGACTACCCAGCCAGCATGCCTAGGTGGGCCCCATGTGGGGACAAGGAGGGCATACTATATGGGTCCCATATGGGTTTGTCCGCGGGTTCCATGATGGCCCCACATGGGTTTGCCCATGTAGGGCCAGAGCCCACATGGGCCCTGCATGGGCCCTATATGGTGGTGGCCCACATGGGTTTTGTCCAATTAGGGCCCATGCAGGGCCCATGTGGGCTGTGGCCCTACATGGGCAAACCCATGTGGGGCCATCGTGGAACCCGCGGACAAACCCATATGGGACCCATATAGTCTGCCCTCCTTGTCCCCACATGGGTCCCACCTAGGCATGCTGGCTGGGTAGTTCTGATCAGCCCTAAATTAATCTCTAAAACGTTGTAGAAAACTGTAGTTTAAGGAGATCGTTTATCAACATAAATTACAGCATTTGTCAAACTATCTTTGCAAACTGATGTTTTAATTCACTTTTGTTGGTTGTCAGTCTTCTCGAATGTGCCTCCAGCACAGAAAACTCTGGCTGTTTCGTGCTGAAGCTGGTGCATGTAGCACTGGATAAACTCTGCATTTTTTTTTATATGAAAAATCTTTTTGTATTGTTTTGTACTTACCTTTGAGGTTGGCCACCCTTTGGCTCCTTGTTGGTTTTAGATCTTTCTTACCTAAATGATGATATATATATAGTTATCGTATCAATACAACATTGGTGTCAACATACCAATGGTTTAAAAAGTAAGTTTCAAAACCGCTTAATTGCTTTGTTGTACGATTCCTGAATTATAATAGTATTAACACCAATATTCAGCAATGACATCAAAGGGAGCAAGTAGTCTTCGTTGCTAAATGCCAGTGTGACCAGAGTTTATTCTAATTTTATGAGGTTTTATGGTGGTGACTCAGTGTCATCTACTGCAATAGTTACTTGCCTAAATAAGAAATTATTTTAGTAATACATGCAATGTATAGATACAATACATGTTTCCAGTACCAAAAACTGTGGATGTTATATTTAGCTAGCAGGAGTCGAAAGAAGTGTTGCTTTTTGTTTGAAATGCAAGTCCATTGAATCATTCACCTTTTCATTTTATATTCTTGTATGAATACTGGTATTTTCTCATACCCTGCCATACATGCCAAAAAAGTATTTTGGTAGTACTTTAGTTCTTGTTAAAAAGAATGTTATTCATACCTCTAACCTCCGGTGTTATGGAGAATCCTTTGTTCTTCCTTTTGAATAGTTTAGCAATGGGTCCTTTTGGTTTCTTGTGCTTATCTGTCACAGAATCAATGTAATTAGACATATGACATATAGAATGAGTTGACTGTAGACATTTAGGCCTGAATAGTTTCACATTTCCCTGCTTGCTTCACCTGAAAATCCACAATATCTGTAGTTCCAAATTAATTTCATCGATATTGGTACATCAAAAAAAGTGAAGTGAGTCACTGTTGGCTCTGGATGAAAAGTTAACATAGTGCTGCAGTGTTGAAATGTTTCACACAGAATCAACCTCAAAGTTTATTAGCATACCACATTTAAAATCATCAAATTACAAAAGTGCACAAGTCATATTATCAGTATAGCAAACAGCTAAATTAAGGTTAGAAAGAAACAAGAGGACACAACCAAGTAAAATTAGTAAAATTGATTTTTTTTTTTTAAGTATGGAAACAATAACAGAAAAAGCTAGGATATTCAGTTCAACAAGAGTTCAAAGCTCACGTATAGAAATAGGTTAGTAAGGAGCAATAAAATGATTATCTGTGTTGTTCAGATGAGCTATGGATTGAACCTACAAATGAGCAGTGACTTACCCACAAGTTAAAACAAAGCCAGATTTTTACAAATGGACTGAAAGAACTCCTGTTTCTCAAAAAAGATTTAAATTAGTTTAACCCTGTGCCTTTAATAACACAAGAGTTAGAGTTATAGTTTACTGTGATGTTTCCTATGCGTTATCTTTGTGTGATTGCGAAAGTCATCAAAGTCTTTGCAGAGCATCAAAGTTCTGCCAATTTTGATGTCACTGACCAGTAAACAGCATAATCTACCTGTGCAAATATGACCTTACGCACAACAATTTGCGATCATCATTCACCTCTACTCTCTGCATTGATGTAGTTTGAAAACACAACACAGTTATGAGTAGCATTCCAAACCACCCTCACCTTCAGCTTCTACCACTTCAGACGGTGGTTGTTTGTTTGCAAAAGATCTACAGTGTCTATCAACCCAAATGTGCAGATCCTTGCAGTAATAATCTTGCACTTCTCTCAGCACCTGCAGGAACTGTTGACTGCTCTCCTCTGAGGCACATGCTGTCTCCAGAGCCTGAGCCACAGCATCAGAAGGTGATTTTTCTAGTAAATATGGGTAGGAGCTGGGAGAGAGCACCTCATCGTCATAGAGCCAACGCAACAGGGGAGCTGGATGGTCGCAAGTCCAGTTCAGCAACAGTTCCCTCTGAGATCGAAGCAGCTCCTGAGCCGAGGTCATGTTTTCAGAGAATACTGCCAAAATGTTGAGATTCAATTCAGATTAAAACTTACACATTAAAGTTCTCTTACAAGACTGAAATAGTCAGACTTTTACTTTTAAATGATTCTCCTAAAACCTTACCATAAAGTGAAAAATAGATCTTCCTGTGGTGCCTCGGTTGTTATTATCTCCTCAGTCAGGTGAGTGTTGCTCCTCCTGCAACACTCCCCTTTTTCTGCTGCAGCAACAGCAGTTAGCCTTTGTCTTAAGTAGTAGTTGAAGGCGGCAACTCTCCAAAAGTTCAATGTTCAGGGTTTTGCACCTGACTTTGTCAGTTTCTTTTAGTTTAAGTATGTGGAACAATGCTCTCATTTTCACCCTCAAAACAGGAGACACACTAAACATTCAGAATGTTTCTTGAACAGTCTTAGAGGACAGGTTTCCTGTTAAAATACTCCAATAATAATATTGTCTTTTTCTGCTGTGCTTTCCTTTCAGCAGTGACCTACTTGCATCTCTGTATGTTGCCAGATGGCAAAACATTCATTGTCAGACAGGTTAACTATTAATCATTTTTTATATTGTTTTATAGTCCTATTGTTGTGGAGAGTTTTCTACAACCTTGTATCATCAACATTGGAGGTTTATTACAATGCCTTGCAAAAGTATATGTATTCCTTGAACCTTTTCACACAATGAAAAACAAAGCTTTATATCATAACTTTTGTAATAGACCAACGCAATAGCATATAAAATTGCTATTGATATTTCAGATTTTTACAAATAAAAATCTGAAAAGTGTGGCATGGAAGATTTAAACTCCCCACAGAGCAAAGTTTAATTAAATGCAAACCTCCTAATGGCCATCCAGCTAAACAGATGGAAATCCTTACCTCAACAAACACAATATGTTGGCAAGACAGCTATTCTTGTTATGCACACCACAAAATTGACCTCCATGAAATAGTAACATAAAAAAAGAAATGGTTGAAAAAAAATACCTGAATGGTCCTGTATATTGCTCACCACAAAGGAGACTGAATACAAATGCCCTTCAAACTTTTTAGATTTATATGCATAAAAAATTCACACTCTTGCAGTACTTTGTGTTGATTTGGTAAATTAAATTCCAATAAAACATGTTCACATTTACAATTGTGACATGTAAAAACAAGAGGAAAGAACTTGGCACATTTGGAGCCTTTAGGGAAATGGCTAGCAGCATGAGAGTGACTCACTCCTTGTCATGTGTTGTCTTGCTGATGTCTTTCTTTCCGAAGCAAATAATTTCCACTTTTTTTGTATAGGATATATATTTTTTTAAATAAAATCTAAGTTGCTGTACAGTTTAAAATTAACTATTTTCTGGTTAGCAAGACAAAGAAAATCATATTAACCATGTTTTGAAAGATTCAGACAGATTTCAAACAAACCAGTTATTAATAGCATTTGCATTGGTAGCTTGGTAGGCAATGGTGACACAATGAAACAGGCCAACTTCCTCTTCTTTGCCCCTCTCATCCCCTTCCCAAGTCTGATGGAAGAAAAGTGCTGCAGCCATGCATGGAGACACAAGCTTTTTTAAGTGTCTCCAACTTATGGGTGAGTAGTGAATTCATTTATTACTATCTAGTGAGTGGATGTTCGTTTTGTGGAAATTCTAAATATTTTTATTGTTAGTTAATATGCATGATAAACTGATATAGTCAGTAAGGCAGCTGGTTAAATCAGTCATGATTATTCTAACAGTGGTGAAATTTATTATTTTTATTTACATTGATATTTTCTGCAGTCTTCAGTGGCTAAGGTGAAATTGTTTAGTGAATTATGTTGTATTTTTTTCTGATTTCTAGTTCATAGTACAGAAAAATTGAATTCAAAATGCAACATATTATTTAGAAAACTGTAATTTGCACATATACTTTCTTGAACAATGTGCAGAGTGGACACTTATTACCAGGGCTAAGGGCACAATTACGCTGTTCCTTTTTTCTAAATATATCTATTGCACAACTATTTTATGTTGGAGATCCAAAAAATTGAAATTAAATGCAATACTACAACCATTACATTATCATTAATCAATGTGAGGAATTTCTGTTGCTTAAAAGTAATCATTCCTAAAGGGATTATTGTTTTACAACTGCTTGGCCATAGTTTTGTTTTTTTTTAAGTGTCCCCATGTTTATATTCCTTTAACTTATAATCATAGTAAAGTAAAATGGTAATTCTCTGCTTTCTAAATTATTTTCTTTGTTACTGAAGCGGCCTTGTGGATGGGGGTCCAGGCTGTCTCGCCTGTGCCCTCAGTCCCTGACCGTGTACAGGGTGTGGTTGGCTCCTGCATGGTGATTCCTTGCTCCTTCACACCTGCAGACCCTCACCCCATCAGGGGACGAAAGGAGAGGGTGGACGTGCGGCTCAGGTTCAGAGGTGGTGGGCCTTTTTTCCCTCTCAGGAGCACTGCTTTCAACAGCGAGAGCAAAGACCAAGTGAGCAGGGATTTCCTCGGCCGGACTTTGCTCTATGGCCAAGTGTCCAATGGAGACTGCTCAGTGAAGATAGAACAGCTTAGAGCGGATGACCCAAAGGTGTTTGAACTGGCTCTGAAGAAAGGCAGTGATTTACTCTGGGGGGTGTCAAGGACTGTAAATGTAGACATCAACGGTGAGTGGTATAAAAATACCTTGCCCTGTCTGTCTTTGTTTTATGGAAAGTGATTGAAATTGTTTGAGAGGTTTACAGTTTACAATGTCTTGAGAGACCGGAAATAAAATGGGCAGCAGTCGATGACAATTATTGTAGTTTTGCTGAATTACTAGTTAAATAAATTCTGAAAGAGAAAATACACAGATGTTTTTTTTTCTTGCTGATAGACAACCCTGAGCCTCCTGTCATCAGCGGCATGTTGTCAGCCAAAGAAGGACAGTTGGTCTCTCTGAACTGCTCCGTCAGCTACCACTGTCCCTCCAGACCCCCGACCCTGCAGTGGAAGTGGGACCAAGGAGCCAAACTCAACAGCAGCGAGCTGGGAGAGCTACAAACGCTCCATCCGGGTCCCCACAAGTGGATGCTGCTGGCTTCTTTGTCTTTCATCGCATCCCACCAAGTGAAGCCCCGGCTCTGGTGTGCGGTTAAATATCCAGAAACCAAAATGTTAGCCATGGTGAAGGACCTTCATGTGACATGTAAGCAAAACGATGGCCCTTATGTCTTTGTTTCTTTGCTGAGTTTAACCTGGTTTCCATTGCCCATGCTTTTAGTTCCACCAAAAGATGTGAAGGTGGAGGTTCAGACATTGATCGTTCAGCAGGGGGGCAACGCCTTGCTTGTTTGCTCATGCAAAGCTGACCCTCCAGCGACAGAGTATCGCTGGTCCTACACTCAACACGGCCACACTGTGCACCTCCACCACCGATCGCACAGTCTGCGAGTGTTCAACGTGACCAAAGACATGAGAGTCCGCTGCTCAGCCAAGAACACCATTGGTCGAGGAGAATCCAAGCCCACGTCGCTTAATATACAATGTAAACATATCCTTTATGCGACTTTATTGTTGCAATGTTTTCCTTGACACCAAACACTTTGAAAAACAGAACGATTGTTTTCTTAGAACCAGACTCTGGGGTTTTGTGGTTTTAGGATGTTCATCTTTCTATTGTGTTTGATTGGTTTTTGTATAGATGACACCTGGCTTATATTGAGATATCACATATTGCACAAGTGGAGCTCTATCTGAGTGTCACTGAGATCCTAATAGATTCCCATCTTTTGTTTCTTTTAGACAAGCCTTCCATCTCACGTTCCTCTTCCACCTGTGTCGTGGAGGATTCTGAGGTGCGCTGTCTCTGTTCGGTCGACTCCAACCCCAAAGCAGCTGTCACCTGGAGTGTCAATGGGACTGTTCCACCTTATGATTACAACGTGTCTGTAACATCAGAGCCCGACATGCTCACAGTTTCTCTGAGGGGATACATGGACAAACCACTGAGTGTAATCTGTTTTGCATTCAACGCACTCGGAAATGACTCCCTGGTTTTGCTGCAGGGGGAGGAAGGTATGCCTCTATTCTTGTCACACTAACAAAAAGAACTTCTTCTACTTGTTTTTCTCTCCATGTGATGCTGGTGTTGAACTACGTACACGATATGTCCAGAGTCTGCAAATATTTAAAAAATGAAGAAAACTCTGTAAATAAAAGCTTGAGGGATTTTGTTTTATGTCATAAAGTGGTCTTACTAGTTTCCTAAAGTCACTGTAATTGGTATGGATAGCATGCAGTAAAGCTTTATATTCTGATTTATACTGCTTTTGTATTCAACATCCAGAAACCCCATCCGTGGTCTGGATCATTTTACCTGCTGTGGTCATCTCACTGTGCGTATGCCTTCTGTCCCTGCTTGTCTGCTTCTTTCGAAGGAGAGCTAAAAGGTATGTGTGAAACAAATTTACCAATAAAATGAAGATGTTATTTCTACATATTTATAATGCAAGGCTTTTGGTCTTCTCCCTTCTAGACACATCATGATCAGACATCAAGCTGTCTACCCTGAAGGACTAGGAATTTATCAGAACAGGATGCCTCTCTACATTAACTGCACTGAAGTGACAAATGTTTACACCAATGGAAGCTACCAACTTGTGTACCAGAACTCCACACCTGTTTTTGTCCATACAAAGCAGGTATTATATATTTTGGTTCTTAAAGAAAAAGGCCATACTTAATAGGAGACACATCACAACTTTTATTTTATTTTTTATTTTTTTATTTTACATACTGTCCACTTTGTATTTCAATAACCTACCTCTGCTTTTCAGGTCCGTCCAATGGGCCGAAGAGGTGGGGAGAGGAGAAGAGGCAGAGATGTTGCAAGAAGAGATAGAGGAGCTGGTCTGGGACTCAGGGATACATCAGAGGTCCAAAGTGCCTCTCCAGATGATCCAGAGACAGCCATCTATGTAGAGATCCTATGAATTTTAAAACAAAAAAATAATTAACTGGAAATTGATTCTCTAATGTTTGGGACAATTTTGCTAGTGTTACTTCCTGTCTGCAATGTATATAGTGTTCAATACTGTGACGTATGGGTATTCTGAATTTTTTTTTAAGGAAGAGTTATATTCCTGCTAAAGTTTTATTTTCTTAAGTCTGCAATGTAAGAATATAAGATGTTCTTTACTTACACTGTACTTTAAATATTCTTGTGAATGTTTTTGTTTTTTAAACATCGATCAATGTTTGAATTCTAAAAAGGACAGCAAATAATAAAAGTTAAACTATGACCATTATCATTCAGTTTATTGTTATGTGGATATTTTTTTTATTATTATTTTTAAGGGATATGAGGCAGTGGCTAAAAGATCTGATTATGCTGCCAGAAAGTAGCATGCCCAGGCCCCATCCCTCTGATCTGCATGTCATATGATTGAGACATTCCTTCCTACAGTTTTGTGGGCTCATGTAGTGTAGTGATGTCTGGCCAACTCCCAGGAGAAACAGACCAACCACCAGGCATTCCACTGCAAGCTCGTTTCCCCAGGCTTATCTCCAGGATGGTCCTGGCCATACTTTTTGTAATTGTGGTCTACTATTCATGAAATTCATCAAATCACTCTTGCTCTGACCTCTCCCCTGAGGGCAATTTACCATGGGTAACCCTAACAGGAGTCAAACAAACCCTTTGAAAACAATCGCCCCATGGTATTTAAATTCCTCTACCATGTAAATGTCTCAAATATGGAAAAAAAGCAAATTGTTTCCACCAGATCTGTTATTTTCCTTGAGCATATGAGTTCAAGTTGTCTTGTTTATGAGTGACAGCAGGATGAGGCAGGAGTCAGATGACTACAACATTAGAGCTTCATTCTCCTGTAATGATTTTACTAATATGGTCCATTATGGGAAAAAAGAGAGATAACTTCAAAAGTAAGCACTTGAATGTTTGGTTTGCCAGATCATCTACATTCCAGTCGTCAAATATGGTCACGGAATGTGGAACATGACTGAAATCTCCTTGCAATTTTTTTAGCCATGTTCCAGTGAGACATTTTGAGGCATATTTTGAACTCAGGATTATACTTCCCTTCTGGCCTTGACATGGATTGAGATCCCCCAGAATCAGTAATTTTCTATAGACTAATTTTTCTCACCCCAAACTCCACATTCCAAACAATACATAAAACAAGCTAAAGCTTTATAATTGTTTTACAACTAACATACATTGACTCAAAACGTTTGGCTTTTTATTAGTAATTGAATAAGATCAATCATATCCTAAATTAAATTAAATCAATCAATTAGTTAGTAATTATGTTGTTTTTAAACACTGCCAGAACATAAATAATAAAAGATACAAACATAGATATTGTGAATATTTATGTTTATTAATGCTATAAATAAAAATAGAAAATATTGTCTAATATATAGAATTTGTAGACGTATGTATAACAGAATAGTAGCAATAAAAAAACAATATATACATGATTTAAATATTTTTTTATTGTCATACCACCTTGGACTCAGGTCACAGATTAAGAAATATAATACAAAAATAAAAAATAAATTCATAGATAAATTCATAGATATATATCACATAACTTATGTGATATATATTGTGTATATTTAAAAAAGTAAAGGGTTATAAATTTGTATGGATTATTTACAGTTTGTGTAAGGTCAAAAAATGACGGTAATAGGAATGGGGGAGAAACTTTTAAAGTAACCAGAAGGATGACGGACGTCTGCTTCTCACCGGCCTTGCCTCTTTCCACTTTCTGTATGAGCTCAGCATTATGAGTCTGGTTTGAATTGAAACAAAAACATGAGGCAAAGCAAAGCTTACTTTAATAATTACATAAAACAATTTACATAAAATAAAAAAACAACAACAATTTAACACGTATGCTTTTCTCCACAACATGGAGAAGTAAAAAAAATATCCACATTCTATTCCACTTCGAAATTTTTCTGACTTAGAAACTGCACACGTTTCACCACTTGGTGGCGACTTAACTGCATGGTGAGATAATTGTGCAGTAGAAGAAGAACGTGAAGTTCTCATTGGCTAGAGACGCCTGGAGTCGGAAGTTACGACACATTGACATTTGCAGCCTTTTGGTGTGAAAATGAGTGCTCACTTGCGCATATTTAACGTTAAATTCAAGTGGTCGTTATATAAATCAAGATATTTACCGTAGCGATAAAAGTATTGTGTTAAATGTGAAGCATAAAACAGCGTGGGAGATTATTGTGCTGCAGCTTTTCACGAGTGTTGAATGATCCGACATATGTGGGAAAGTTCTCTGCCTTTTGTTTACTAGCATGCTATCTGGTTAGTCAGGAGTCGTTCTATCGCTGTTCTGCAACAAAGTGAGTTTATTGTAGTGCCACGAAAGCAATCTGGGTGTGTTTTAGGATTAGGCTACTCGTCGTATTTTTAAAAACGCCCGGTTGACGGAAATTAACTGGAAATTAATCGTATTTCGAAACAAAACAAGACAAGCATGCCAGAAATTCCACTCAAGCATGTAATTTCTTGCTCCACCGAGGACAGCGTAAGTTGTTTCAAGTCATTATGTTCGTAAAGTAAGCTGCGCTTTGCCTAATGTTTTTTTGTTTCAATTCAAACCAGACTCATAAAGCAAACAATCTGCTGAGCTCAGACACATACAGAAAGTGGAAAGCATCAAAACCCGGTGAGAAGCAGACGTCCGTCATCCTTCAGGTTTGTTTTGTCTTTAATTGTTCGGGTGTTTTTCTTCTTTTTTTTTTTCTGTGAGATTCTAGGATAATAAATGCTTATCATTCATCTTAAGTCACCAATCTATTCGTTCACAAATAGCTCAGCGACCCGTGTCTACTAAAAACTCCAAAAATATATTTACATGAAAAATACTTTACAAGTTTCTCCCCCATTCCTATTAACCGTCATTTTTTTGACCTTACACAAATAAATCATCGTTTAAAATGACGTTTCACCAAATTAGTGTACACATACAACCTGTTTTTATTAATAATAAATAATCTAAAAAAACTAAACAGAACATAAAGAGGGAACATTGTAATGATGGAAAACAAATAGAAAAGCGAGTGAATCTGTATCAGCAATAATATTGCAATTGCATATGTTCTTAAAAAGCAGCACTCTTTGCAGCTGGATTTCTATAAATTGCTGTATGCTGGATATGAGAAATCTTAAATCTAATGCCATAGGTTTTATTTTATATATATATATATATATATATATATATATATATATATATATATAAAATGTGTTGAAGTTTGTCTCTATTTGCTCTCCATAAACCTCTTCAAAAATAATAAGAAAAATGTTTTATATTGATACATGAACATGGCCTTTTAGGTTTGTCACAAAAAGATGTTTTATCATTCTTCTGTGACTGTGTGATGCTGAAGCATTCGGAAAACTTTTTTTTGTCTGAATTCGTTTTAGCTTTTAAATCTTATGTCAGATTGTTTACGCTGTAGTGAAACGTTTCACTCTTTCCATCTAAAGTAGAGGTACACAAATACAGTATTCTTGTAGAGCAGCCAATTTGAGATCTTTAATGCTGATTACGATGTTTGGCTGATGTAACACTTTATCCAGTTATTTTGGGTATAAAATAGGGCTATGCAACTTTTTTTTTTTTTTTTTTTTCCTTGTTTTGGGAAAACTTTGTGTGTTAACAAATCAAAAGGAGTGTTATAGCGAAAAAA